CCCTGACACCACCTGCCCATGCACTCGGGTCCCTCATTCTCTCCTCCTCCTTCCCCTTTTTCCTCCCAACATGTGTGTGTCCACCTGGCCAGGAGAGGCTGTGAGTAACGTACGGTCCGTCCACCTCTCAGAACCCAGGACATACATTCCTAGCTCTTCCCATATTAGGCCAGGACCCTATGTGTTAACTTGATTTGATTTGATTTGATTTGATTTGATTTGATTTAAGGGAATTTTCATCCTCCATAGCAGCGATTTTCAACCGTTTTCATCTCAGGCACATAAGCTAATTACTAACGTTTTGCAGCACACCAACAAATACAGTATATTTTTTGCCGATCTGGGGAAGCAACAGGTCTAATTTGGTTCCTTCACACCAGATAACTACTATTATGTTGGCTGCTGTCATTTTTAAATGTGACAGTCTCAGGGAGAAGAGGGGGTGCCCCTGGGTAAATGGGGGTGGCACGTTTGACAGTAACAATGCTGGCCGCACCCTGGGCAGGAAATCGCTCGTCTACCGGAAACGAGTGTCTGCTGGGCAGTGCTCCCATCGGGTCTGCAGATGAGGTGACCAGCAGTACACGCACACAGTGTGTGCCACGTAAATAACTGTTAGCCTGTGACGTTGGTGGAGATGGTGGCCACTATCCACTCACACCTTTGCCGCCCTGAGGCAGAGCCCCGAGTAGACCGACTGATGGAGGAGAGGAGTTGCATCCGGGCCTCTTGCTGGGCACAATGGCTATTGGAGGGGATTCTGGTCATTAACGGCCCTGGCTGTGCGTTTCCTGTCTGCCGGGAAGCAAGCTGGTGTTCTACACGAGCTGTTTAAAAAACGTTAGCAAGTTATTTTAGTCTAATTTTACCATAAAATGTAGCATCAAGATAAATACAACATCTAGTGGGCACACACCCCGTGTGATACCGTCGCGCAATCCCTCCACGAGTGAAGTGGGAAGGAATGGCGTTCACTGCGGAGTGGGGCGGGGACTCGGGGCAGGCGTCAGGGTGAGTAAATGCAGATCCCAGTGCAGGAGCCGCTCGTGAGCAGGGGAGAGAGAAGCAGACATCACGTTATACGACGAGGGGGTGGTTGTGGGAAATGAAACCTGTGGAAAGGGCACAGTTGTGCCCACACTGGCTTTTTTTTCCTGAACGATGAAAGTGGTTTTTATGTGCTGAGTCTTAAAGGATGAGGAGGTGTTTCTATGAAATGAAACTGAGAAAGAAAGGTTGTTATAAGGAGATCCTATATAATAAAAGCCTAATATGCTAAGTGTCCAGTCGACCGGTTGGCTGTTCAACCAATCAAAGCGTAACACGCTAATGATATTCTAAGGCCACTCAACTGGTCACTATGACGTGCACTGACCACCAGGGGGCAGACGCTCCAACCAGTAGGTTAGCTTGCTGCTGGGGTCCTGCTGATAGGGACTGAGCGAGCGGGGCCAGACACACCCTGGAGCCCTCCCGCAGTCCCTCCCCAGCTGGCCAACCTCCCGTGTCTATCCCTGGCCTGATCCTGCACTATGGGGTCCCTTAGCCTGGCCTGTGCCCTCTTGCAGTCCAGGAGCCCTCAGGGGATGTCCGACTGCCATGGAGGCAGGAGAGGCTTCCGCCGCCACCACTGCATTCACCAGCCATGAGCCCGGCTTCTGGCTGAGCAGAGCTCCCCCTGTGGGAGCGCACCGACCACCAGGGAGCAGCTCCTGCATTGAGCGTCTGCCCCCTGGTGGTCAGTGTGCGTCATAGCAACCGGCCGTTCCGCTGTTCAGTCAAGTTGCATATTAGCCTTTTACTATATAGGATTTTATTCTAACTTGGAAAATTGGTCAGGGAGCCTGAATTTTCATTCTATACACACATATGATACAAATTTCACTAAACCTCCCTTTCATAGTAATAGAGCAATTTTTCATTGTTTAAAGGGTTTTTAGGTTGCTTCTCATCATTCAATGCCTGTGACCAGTTTGAGCTCAGTGTTGGGAGCTGATGGTGATTATTGTGGTTTTACAACCCTTCTCAGTGAGGGTGGAATTTTTACTTTTGTGTCTGTGTTTCATGACATTATTCTCCCCCCCAATTCTATTCTTTAACATTAACACCGGATCCTAAATTATGCCATCTCCGTCCGCTGGCCCACCAGGGTACACGGCGCATTATCACGCCGTCTTCAAAACCAAGGCCTCTATTTTTAATCAGAAGCTCTCTCCCGCTACTTGCATTGCGAAGGAAGATAAGTTCAAATGCTTTACTGATGTGACACATACTTAAAAAATTCTCCGACAGAACTATTCAGTGATTGCAATTTAGAGAAATATTTTATGTTCCCAGCCTCCGATCCTTTAACAATCAGGCCAAGAACAGACACGTGGCTCTCGCCTCCACCTCTAAGAGCCAGGGCCTCCAGAGGGCCACGGATCATGTGTGGGCGCAAACCCAACCCCACGGCTGCCAGACGGTTCAGATCATGAAAGAGGCCTTCAGACAAGACCCCATTTACCCTGGACGTGCGCGGGGTCCGTCTGTCAGTCTGTCTGTCTGCGGGAAGCGGTGCTGAGCAACCCCCGTCGCACATCCCCAGTCCTGGTCCCCCGGACGCCCCCCGTGCTCTGTGTTAACAGGGCCACCTTCAAACACGCCACCTTTACCAGTACGCACGCCCCTCGGAGCAAGCCGGTTCACACATTGTTAACTTTTAAACGGTGAAAAATAAAAACATCCAAGATATAGATCAGAGAAGGCCGTTCTTACAGGCTCCGGGCCTTATTTTGTTGGTCGATTCATCCTGCTCATTAGATCCCACACGTGAGTGAGAGCAGACGGGAGCCGGGAGCACGGGCCAGACTGACGCGCCTCCCTGTGGGGTGGGGGCCGAGGAGACATAAACCGAAGAACTGTTATCAACAATATAGAAACATTTTTTAAAAAGTGGTCCTTACAATTAGCCCGTGGGTCCTCCCACTGCGCCTTTCGGTGGCAGCGCCGAACAACAAGGTGACGGACTCTGGTTTCATCCGGGGCTTAGAACTCACTGAGCTTCCCGTGTTAGGACCCCAGGCGCCATGAGGCCCGTGCAGGGTCCACGGGGCCGGGTCAGGGCACTCACGCCCCCGCTCTGTCCTCCCCACCCCGGCATCGCGAGGCGTGTCCCCCACGGACCAGCCCCGGACTGTGCGTCCTCCGTTTCCTCTTCCCCGCCTGCTCCCCCTGCTCCGGTCCTGGTCTGAAATGGGACTGCATGCGGGGGGCGGGGGGGCACTCCCCTGTGGGCCGGGCTCACGCAGTCCTGTCCCCCTGGGCTTCTGGGAGGAAGAAAGGCTCCCGGAGATAAGCAGTCGGGGTCCCAGCGGGACGGTGCTGGGTGCGGACCTGCCTGGTCACGTCAGACAAACTGGTGAGACAGGCTGTTCTGAGACGCACAGGCGGCCACCAGTGTTCTATGCCCGGCCGGTGTGGCTCAGCGGTCAGAGCGCCAGTCTGTGCAGCAAAAGGTCTGGGGTTCGCTTCTTGCTCCCCGCCCCCAGCTGGGTGCATTCAAGAGGCAACCAGTCCACATGTCTCTCTCACATCTGTGTCTCCCTCTCCCTCCCCACTTTCTTCCTCTCCCTCACTCTCCCTCTCTCCCTCCCTCTCTCTCTTCCTCCCTCTCTCTCTCCCTCCCTCTCTCTCTTCCTCCCTCTCCCTCCCTGCCTGCCCCCCCACCCACTCTCTGGGAAACACCCTCAGGTGAGGAATTAAGGAAACCAGGTTCCCTGGGCCTCCTGATGCCCGGGAGGCAGTTTCGGGGGACAGCGGGGAGCCTGGCAGAGGCCCCTTTGAGCACAGGATGAGCTCTCTGGAGGGAATGGAGTCCGGGAGGAGGGCCGCTCCGACCTGAGGGCTGACACCCCATGAGTGCTCCCCTGTCCAGCGTCCGTGCTGCTGGGCTGGACGTGGGGCCCCCGTCTAAGCACCCTCAGGTGCAGGAGGCCTCTCAGGCAGAGAGAATCCAGGGGACTCGCACCGTCCCCATGAGCGAGCTGTGCCGGGTCCCTGCCCATGGCCACGCGCGGGGCAGCCTCTGGAGGGACGGGGCCTGGTCAGCCAGGCCAGCCCCACGGCAAGCTGTTCCCTGTGCTGCTGGCTCTCAGTGTAGGTCCGTCAGTCCTAACAGATGGAGGGGGGGGTTGACA